TTCAGGGCTTTTTGCAAGTGAACACAGTCCCCCAGACAGATTTGGAATACAAGCTGCAAGCTGGCTGTATCCCTTGGTGAATCTGCTGCTGTCCTGCTCTTTCCCTTTGCTCACAGTCAATGAGCCTTGGCACACAGGGACAAGCTGTGGTCTCTGACTGCTTTGTTCTCTTTGACTTGAGGTGGACGTGTTGATATCTCACCTGGCAGCCTGCGAAGGCTTCCAGCAAATGCCGGCTGATGAAGAGCCCCAAGGTCGGCGGGAGGCACAGGTACTGTCCCAAGCACAAGTGCTGCAGGCTGAGCACCTTCTGAAGATGGTGCAGGAAAAGAGGACTGAGGGGGAGGAGCTCCAACATTAGAACAAGGAGCTGCAAATGTGTCTGCAGCCCTTGGAGGGGGAAAGGGATCCTTGGGAGGAAGTGCAATGGTCGTTGTTGCAGTCATCCTTCAGAAAATCCAGGAAAATGGAATATGAAACTGGCCATCAACTTGATTAAAACCAACCTTGGGTTTTGACCATTTGGTTCCAGAAGTGGGCATCCAAAAAATCCAGTTGATGAGCTTTGCATGTGGCTAACAGCAACTTCCTAAGGGCTTGCATTTGAAAAGGGAACTCGGGGTAATCTCTGCCAGCCAGCTTTCTGACACAAACTCCTTTCTTCTCGCAGATCTACGCAGGCTCTTCCATTCAATCTGCTGCAGCAGCAGCAGCAGCAGCAGCATCTAAAGGAGCCTTTGTTCCCCAAGCTGAGCAGTGGATCCTGGGCAGTTTGTCCATTTCCAGCAGTGACACATCTGCTGCTCAGCTCCAGGAGAGCCAGGGAGACTTCGTGGAGCAACTGAGTACGTCTGGTGTATTTCTTGTCTGAGGGACAGTGTATTGTGTGCCCGTGCCAGCAGAGCTGTAGCAAATGATCCTCCTCACTTTGGTGTCCCAGAGACATTTAGGACTCCCCACAGGAACTGCTGTGCTCTGAGGCAGCGAGAGAGTGCTCTGGCTGCTCCTGCTGCCTCTGAGGGCAGCTTGGACTGGCTCGGCTTTGCCTGGCATTCCCTTGCCACTAAAGGCAGAAGCAGGAATTGTTCTTGGATCAGCAGAAGGCTGTGGCCCAGCAAATGATCTATGCAAGTTCTGTGTGCTAGTGGCCAAACTGAACAGAATATTTGATTCCTAAATTCTCCTTAGACTCCAGACTTCCCACCGCTTGTCAGAACCAAAAGACTTCAGAGATAATTGATTGGTTTTGGGGTTTTGTCTTTTTGTTGTGGTTCCGTTTTTATTTTCAGTTTTTATCCTTTTGTGGTTTTGGATTTGGGGTTTTTTGGTAGAGTTCGTTTTTTCATTATCCTGAAAGAGCTGTTCTGCCCCATGTGTCTTACTGGTGTCATTTTTAGGACTGTTTTTATTGCCTCTACTACATCTACAAGGTTTTTATGAGAATGCTGTATTTTTGTCAGTGAGGACTCCTTTGAAAGAACATCAGGTGACAGCAGAAACAGAGAGCAAGAGATGTTTTCATTGGGCCCACAATGAAGAAACAGATACTTGTATAACAATCTGTAATTAATATCCTAGTTTTATTTTTCTAAAGATGTGTCCAAGAGACACATCCACGTGGTGTGATCAGATAAAACAGCACTGCAGGCATTTCTCAGGAGCGAGCCTGCAGCCCCTGTGCTGTGTATTCCTCAGATCCATGGCACTTTTTCATCCCTGATTCCCAGCCATTCCCATGACTCTTAGAATCCTACCTATTGGCCCAAGCCCTGCTCAGATCAGTCTCTGGGAAAACACATCAAGCCCTTTGTGATTCTGCAGCACAACCCATTTAATCTGCTTCTTGCCCATAACAGCTGCCAGTGCTGTGCTCTCAGAAAAGACCTGGTGGGGCTGAGAAAAGATCCCAGCTGATTTGGTGTCTACCTTCACCTGCTGGGACACAAAAGGGCCTTGATCTGCACCTGGCTGTGTCTGATCTCCAAGGCAATGCTGTTGTGTCCTGAACGGGGGCCACAGCTTGTCAGGGGCTCAGGCTGGCTGTGTCTTCTTGCCATTGCTTGTCAGTGCTCATGCTTGGCCTTTGCCAGCCTTGTGCTGTGCCCTGCTGTGCTCTCTGCGCTTCATTTCCTTCCAAGGACTGGACAAAATCAGTCTCTCTGCTGCCCATTTGTACTGCACAACTGCCTGCCTTGTTGCTGCTGTGCTTGCTGCCCAGCTGACCACAGAGGGTTCAGAGCCCCAGACAGCGGGGCTGCCTTTGGCATCTCCTGCAAGTTCGGATCTCTGCCTGAAAGTCAGCATCTTGCATTTTGTTTCCCTCAGGGAGAATGGTGAACAAGGAAAATCCCATCACAAAATACATTGAACTGGAAAGTCTTGGCAGCGGGTGAGTCCAACCACAGTCACTTCTACACAGCCACGGGCCAGGTGTTTCACTGGGGGAATATCCATCAAGTGGGAAGTCAGACAAGTTGTCCACATGTTTAGACAGCGGGCTTAGTCTGCCCCATCTCTCAGTACTGACCAGAATTTGTCAAGTGTGCTCAGAAGGCATTGTCAAAGACATCTCCATGCTGCCAAGGTCTTGCCTGCAGCAAGGAACAGAACCTGGGAAATCTGCTTGTCTCTCAAGTGTGGGACAGCTCAGGATTCATTTCCTTCGCATTTTTGGATGTCTCCAAATCATCTGGCCACACTAATGAAAGGAGAAGAATCTTGCTTGCCTGAAAGCACAACCTACCCCCAATGAGAGCTGTCAGATAACAGTTCTCAGGAACATTTCTCTCCAAGAGTTTGCTACAGGAAATACTCCATGCTCAGGATTAGAATTGCACAGTTTAGAAGCTGATAGCCGAGATGAAGGAATAAGCTGCCTTTTGGAGCTGAGGCAGTAAAGCCCAAGGCTTCAGGAACAGGCCCAGTGCCCAGGCACTTGAGGGGAAAATGCATCATCTGCCTTCTGGCAGACCCCTCCTGCAACCTGCAGCTTTTAGGCCTTTACAGCAGAGCTCTCCTGTCTGGACTGGCTTTCAGTGCAAGATCTAAATGGCTTCTCCTTTCTTTGCTGCTGTTTTGTTTCTAGGGGTTTTGGAGAGGTTTCCAGAGCACTTGACATTGCAACAGGAGGAGAGGTAAATGTCAACAGCCCCTGCAGCCTCTGCTGCTCTCCAGGCCTTTCCCCACTGCTGACAGCTGTGGCTGGAGCTTTGAGTAGAGCTGTGCTGAAAAGGCACAAGAAGCACAGACTGGAGCCAGCCTGCAAATTGCACTTGGAACAGGCTTTGTGGACAAGGCAAATCCTCAGTGGCCACATGTCCTGTAACTGGCCCCCAAGGGAGCAGAGAAATGGGCTGTTGGAATGTCACTCCCTAATTACTCCGGTGATGAGGTCTAATCACAAGGCACTTTGGTTCAGCTTGGCTGTGCCATTCCAAAATCACTTGCTCCATGTGTGTTGTGGTCTCATGCTACCAATTTTCTCAAATTACTCCTTTTCAATGTCATTTGAGGTGGCCATAAAGAAAATAAATGTGCAAGGAGTGAGTAGGAAGATACTAACCATGAATGAAATCAGGATCATGGAGAGCAATAGGAGTCCCAGGATCGTGAATTACTTAGCCAGGTGAGTGGTCACGGTCCTATCCCTTGAATGTTTGTTTACATACTACAAGCATGAGAGCCTAAAAACCCACTTTGGTCAGTGGCAGGAAATAGAGCTGTTAATGATTATTTCTCTACTTATCTCCAATGGATGGGAAGAGACTGCATTTTGTCTGCATGAATCCACCCTGGCAAATGCAGACTGAAAATGGTTCAAAAACCTGCATCAGCCCTATCTTAAGAATTCAATACCTTCTAAGTTCATTGCCTCCACAGTTCTTTGGGCTTGAGTTTTTCAAGTTTCTTAAATGCTGATGAACCATCCAAGAGAGGATTGCCCTTGCATTGTTGCCCCTCTTTTCCATTGCTGTGCATGCCAGGAAGACTAGGTGCTTATTTCCAGAAATGCCATGCGTGACAGGTTTTTTATCTGGGCTCTTCCTAAACTGCCTTTCTCCTTGAGACAGCACAGACTGCAAACACTGCACAGCCTAGAGGCAATGTCTATGCCTTTACTTCTGCCCTTGTCTCCAAGGGACCCAGAAACAAGACTCAAGCAAAAAACCAACCTAGCCGTGCATGTTCACCTGCATGGCCTTGTTTCCTTTTTTCAGCTACCTTGTGCATGAGGAACTCTGGCTGGTGATGGAGTACATGGACGGAGGCACTCTGAGAGATCTCATCGACGAGATTCAAATGTCTGAAGGAGAGATTGCAGCTGTCAGTCGGGAGGTCAGGGATCCCATCTGTGCTTCCAAGGCCTTGAGCTGCATTGTCTGGGAAACAGGGGCTCAGAACGGGAGGGATTTCATGGGCCAAGCTTGGTTTCTGTGCTGCTGCTCGGCTATGGGCAAGCAAGAGCATCTCAAGGGAACTGTCTGCCAGTGCCCCTACACTCACTGGACTCACTTCCTGTACTCTTATCCCCTGCTCTTGTATTCTATCTCTGTCTCATGCACTGGCATTTGCAGTTCTCCACTGAGAAAGGTGCTGCTCTGCTCCTGTTGGAGCAGCAGGCTCTTGCTCTCAATGGCGCTGTGTTCTGCCATTC